GCTCAGACTGGAATGAATATGCAGTGGGCACGAAAGTGTCTTCATGAAGGCAACTGGGATATTCAGCAAACAATATATATGTTAATTGTAATGAGTAAGCAAGGGACAATACCAGCAGAAGCTTTTGTTAAGTGAATCTTTCATCAGAAAATTATTTGTTAACTTATGAAAGGGCATTTTTCAGCCTCCTGTATGTCTCAATATACATGTGAAAAATTGTGAATTGATACATTAAATGTTATGGTTTTCCTTATTCTTATTTGTGTCATTATTGAATAAACTAATGTTACCCTATGAACCACCACCCTACAAAGGAGCAGGGACTGGTGCGTCATGTGGCACTGTCCTCACTGAGGAGATCAGTTATCCTGCCTACGTGCAACCCCCATTTTTCTGTTACTAACTTTGGGAACTTCCACTTTTTGGCATCTGCGATGTTGGTAACTATACCACTAGGGTCAGTATGGTGAAACCTAAAGTTGTCGGGCTAATTCTCAAGGGTTTTAAGAGACTTTTAGACATGTAAATGAACTTTCATCTGAGGCTGAAAACAAAGAAGAAGGAATTGGGCAGGTTTGTGATATAAGCCTGTGGACAGTAAATTTTAAATATGAAGATTTCTGTCTTCAGTGTTGTTGCGCTGTGTAGCCTGGTAGAAGTTTACTGACATTTCAGAGGTCCATGCTGCCTCCATCATCGCCCTGATAGTGGAGGCAGCAAGGACCTCTGAAACTGGATAAGTGAGCTGATTTCCTACCTCCCATGTGTACTTTCAAGCTACTACATATATATAAGTAGAGCCAGGATAATTCAAGTCAGTTCAGTGACTACTTACGGGCTGGACGACTGGGGTTCAATCCGCGATGGGGGCAGAGGATTTTTCCTCTAGCCTCTGCGTCCAGACCGGTTCTGGGGTCCACCCAGGCACGAAGATAAATTTTTGAAGTGTTTTCGAATGAGTTTGACAATATTCAATGAATTATTGTCCTTGTTACAAGATCGTTTAAAACGTCAAGATACCAACATGAGAGAAAGCATACCTCCTGCAGAAAGACTTGCTATTACATTGAGGTAGTGGTTGGGGAGCTAGGAATGGTGGTGGACGCGAGTGGCTGCATTTGCGCGGGATAAACGGTGGTCGAACGCAGCCACAAGCAGCGAGACACGGCCACTACCGTAGCGTGTGGCCCGGTCGGGCCACTACGAACGCCGTGTCTGCGCTGAGTCTATTACAACTGGATACAAAATACAGACCGCAGCTTGTGGCAGTGGCTAGTGGCCCCGTTTGCGCCCGGCCTTACTCTATGTACTGTGGCTTTAGTGAGATTTATTAACTTTCCAGGCATTTCAGATTCCTCCATGGCCTCATATAATTTGTCTCTCTTAATACTATCATTAAAAATTAAAAATTAAATCGTGGCGTAAGAGCTCCAGAGATCCAAAGCCGACTAGCTTGACTGCTGGCCTCACGTTCACATGCCTAAGCAGAGGTGAACGATCATCCAACCAGATATAGGGTGACGTGTGGTCAGTATGACGAACCCCCAGCCATTGCTAGTTTTCCTGACTGGATTACGCTACTCATTGTAGCTCCCCAATTTCCTCACGATGCTGGGTTGGCACCGGTCCCATACACCGGTCGAAAGCTCATGAGAAAATTTCTCCCCCGAGACTCGAACCAGCGCGCATTCCGTATCGCCGGTCCGAAGCATGATGCCTCAGACCGCGCGGCTACGGCGCGGGACCTTAATGCTATCATATGCGGCTTTAAAATCAACAAAGATGTGATATGTGCTTATATTGTACTCCTTGGTTTTGTCTAATATCTGTCTCAAGGCGTGTATTTGATCTATTGTTGATTTTCCACTTCTAAATCCACTCTGGTAATTCGCTATTACAGGCATACCTCGTTTTATTGCGCTTCGCAGATATTGCGTTTTTTATAATTTGAAGGTTTGTGGCAACCCTGTCGCATCCGAACTGCGGACCACTTGTTGAGAATCCCTTGGGAGATTATTTCAATAGGGATCTTGGGCACTGTGTGTCAACGCAGCCATCGTTTGGGAGACCCTTATGGCTATTACTGCCAAGACAACTAAAAGCATCGCGTCTGTTGGTATTATGTCTGTTCACGCTAGACTGTAGTGCAGTGGTCCCCAACCTTTTTGTGCCTACGGGCACATTTGAGAGTTTATGAGATCGTGGCGGGCACCAACCAATTAACAAAGTCAAATTTTCTTTTCTCTGGACAAATACGATATGGGCACCAAATAATACACAAAACAACACGACGTTTAATGATACAAGAAACCATGCAATCAAAAATACGTACTTTTATAAGTACAATTATTATTACTCAAGTGGGAAGTTGGTGTGATGTTTGGCACTGCATTTCATCAGTCAGCTTTTCAAATTTGGGAGTGTAGGATGATGTTGCTGCTCGCAAACAATCGTCAAGATGGGCATCAGTAAGTAGAGATCTGTGCTTTGATTTTATAATGTTCATGGTTGAAAACAGTGATTTGCACAGGTAAGTGGAACCAAAATAAGATTTTATCTTGTACGCTGCACTTTTTACGGAAGGAACTTTTCTCGATCAGCCAGATTCCAAAAGTTTTCATGTGTTGCGTAGGGTTTCAGAACAACGTCATTTTGAAGGTCCAAAATCTCCATTTCCAGTTCTTCTGTCCTTGCTTGAATGAGTCTTCCAATAGATGCAGCAGTTTCTGTAACCTCTATTTGGCAAGTAAAATGATTTACAAAAAAAAGCTACCACTGGTTCAATGGCGGTGAACTGTTGAAATCTCTTTTCAAACTCCTCCAGAAGTGTTTGAAGGTGGTCAACAAATGGTGACGGGCTAAAATTACTCTCCCCTACCATTTTCTTCATACTTGGGAAGTGTACGAGAGACTTCATCTTCATATGTGACATCCACAAGACTAGTTTTGCTTTGAATGATTTTACAGAGCCTCTCATTTGAGCCACATGTTTTTCTTTTCCCTGAAGCTCCAGATTTAAACTGTTCGCTTTGTCAGCGACGTCGGTAAGGAAGGCCAAGTCCAATAGCCAGCAAGAGTCACTTAGTTCGTTGAAGTCCGCATTCTTGGACTTTAGAAAATCTTTTATCTCCTCAATCAAGCTTAAGAACCGTGCAAGAACTTTACCTTTGCTCAACCATCGCACTTCTGTGTATAGGATAAGATCAGAATGTTTGCCTTCAAACTCTCCCAGCAAGGCCTTAAAAAGTCGGTGTTGCAAGGGTGCCGCGCGAATAGAGTTAATTGTCTTTTTAACAACATTCATGACGTGTCCAAACGGAAGTAAGTCCGGAAAGGATTCATCTTTCTTGCAGAGGGCAATGAATCCATTGACGCTGCCCAACATTCCTGGTACAACATCAGTAGCGATCGCTGACAGCTTGTGCAGGGGCAAAGTAATTTCCATTGCATAGGTTTTAAATGTGTTATAAATATGCTCACCTTTTGTTTGCCTTTTCATAGGCAATACTTTGAGCAGCTCCTCTTTTACAGTGAAGTCGCTAAATACCATTCTCACCATGATTGCCAATTGTGCAGTGTCTGATATATCTGTCGACTCATCGAATTGCAGTGAGAACCAGTCACACACTTCCAAGTCACTCTTTAGTTGAGTTTGCATGTCGCATGAAATTACTTGTATCCTCCTCGTAACTGTGTTGTCAGATAACTGCAAGTCTTGTATTACCATAATAATCTCACGCTTGTTGGAAAACCCTTCAAAAAGGCAACCAGCACCAGTCAGGAATGCTTCCTTCAACAACTCACCATCTTGAAATGGTTTTTTCTTCTTTGCAAGCAAGTGAGTAATTTTAAGGGAAGCAATAGTGGCACATCTACATTTTACCACGGGTCTAGTGAAAATCGACTGCTGGCCTGAGAGTTTTGATTTCAGTTCCTTTATTTTCTTTTTTCTTAACTCAGATTTAAATGGATAGTTAGCGTCAAAGGAGCTGTGATTAGTCTTGGAATGACGCTCAACATTATGTTTCTTCGGCACTGCAACACTAGTACCACACAACAAACAAACACATTTGCCTTTGATGTCGACGAAGCAATATGATTCTTCCCACTCGGCACTGAAATTATAGGTCCGTTGTCTATTTTGTCCACTCATTTTGGGGCAAAAAGTAACACAATTGGTGCAGAGAAGAACGCCAAATATAATAAACCACAAAGTGCGAGAAAACAGCAAGATCACCTTATGGTAGTATAGCCCACATTCCACGCACTGTCACGTGGATCCTTGAAGCAGCAAGAACGAAACCGGGTACCCTTTAGTAATTAATTCATGGAGGTCCCTTTGCCGAGGCCTTTATACGCACTTCGAAAACTAGTATCGGTGGGACAACGCTTTCACAACCTATCGGAGGCAGTCACGCTGTCGCCGGTCTTCACGATTTGGCCGTGGCAGTCAAGGATCCAACGTCTCAGCACAACTACCATTGCTGTATCACCGTCTTCATTTTAATATTAAGTAATAAAGAAATCTCTATATAGTCGACGGAAGATTGTTCTTGGGCTTTCACCCTTAAACGCTGCCGTACTCAGTAGCTCCAAGGCCACCAGATAAGATTGCATCTGCTCTGCAGATCTACAGTTCGTATCCTGACGCGGGGAGTCAAGGGCCCATCGATTCCCTGCCAGGGATACGACAACCTTGCGTCGAGCAAGTCTATCGGCGCCATTTTTCCAACAGCAACTTTTTCATTATTATTATGTCTGTTATGGTGATCAGTGATCTTTGATGTTACTATTGTAATTGTTTTGGGGCGCCACGAACCGCGCCCATATAAGACGGCGAACTTTATCGATAAATGTTGTGTGTGTTCTGACTGCTCCCCGTCTCTCTCTCCTCTTCTCTGTTGAAGTTATTTGGATGGAGCTTGATCTCGACCGCCTCTTTTATTTTGCGGTCCATATATCCTGTTGTCTTCTCCAGGACCGTGGTGTTGACGAAATCGATGTTGTGCCCTGTCTCAAACTTGTGTTCCGCCATCGCTGACTTCTCGGGCTGGACTAACCGTATGTGCCTTTTATGCTCCGTACATCTGGCTTCGATAGATCTGCCCGTCTCTCCGATGTAGACCTTACCGCACTCACATGGTATGCGGTATACACCCGCAACTTTTAGGCCTAATTTGTCCTTGATAGGTCTCAGCATTTGACTATTTTTCTTCATTGGGACGTGGATGGTCCTGATGTTATGTTTTTGTCAAGATTCTGCTAATTCTGTGGGAAATCGCCTGTTGGAACGGTATCATCGCTATGCCCACCGGTTTCTCCTTCTGTGCTCCGGGCCTCGGTCTTGGAGTGAGGGCCCGCTTGATGTCGTGGTTCCTGTATCCGTTCTGTCTGAACGTCTTACTCAGGTGGTTGATCTGATTCTCTAAGCTGTCTGAGTCACAGATAGTTCTTGCCCGGTGAACCAGCGTCTTCTGTGCCGGGTGGTGTTCCGAACTCGTGAGTAGATACAAATCTGTGTGTGTCGGTTTCCTGTATATGGTATGTCCCAGTGCGCCATCCGATCTTTTGCTTACCAGTACGTCTAATAAGGGCAGAACTTTGTTCTGTTCCAGTTCCATTGTAAATCTGATATTCTGGTGAAGACTTTTTAAGGGCGGTATCGCACTAGGATGCCAACGGGAGGCCATGGCGCAGCTGCCAGCATCTCGGCCAAACTTTACACTGAATATCCATGTTAAAGGGCTGTGGTCAGTAACTATTGTGAATCTTCTACCATACAGGTATTGCCTGAAATATTTGCATCCCTACACACAATAGCTAACAGTTCCTTTTCTACAGTGGGATAGTTTCATTCTGCGTTGTTCAGGGTTCGACTCGCGTAGGCAAAGGGGATATCCTTCCCTATTGGGCCTTGGCTTGGCTTCGTTGCTAGCATCAGTGGTTAGGACAAACGACGAAATAAAGTTACACCAGTTTACAGTAGCTCGAGTCAGAAAACTATGAAGCAAGACTGTGGTAGGCGTAATGCAGAGTTGAACGTAACGTTCGGTGGTGAGTTCCGGTGTAGTCCGCGTGGTGCTTACAGACAGTGGTTTATAAAGGGATTAAAAGTGTGTCGTGTGCTGTAGTGCCGGAGGGGGCAACAGACTCATCAACAGCTGCGGGGGTTTATCGTAGGGCGACACTTAATTAGAGACGCGTGGGGTATTAGTATAATCGGGATTTTGTATAGTAATCTTCTCATCATATTTATAGTTCAATATATCCAGTCTGGCCTGTAGCATCTGTATCTTACTGACTCTTACAATATGGTTGATGATTACAAGTATCTATTAATAATACGAACTAAAAGTATCAAACAATGCATGCGGTCATACACAATTACATGTGTGAAGGGTCGATATATGACAAGATGGTCCATATGCGACAGGTGGTCTGGAATTGAATCCGCAATATCCCCGAGGTATGCCTGTATATTAAACTCACTTGTGCCGATTTTCTTGCAGACACTTGATATGGAAATGCAGCGCTACCGCAGCGTATGCTGTGCATTAACCGATTAAAAACCACTTTCTGGTTTTAGTGTATACGGCATTTGTAGGAACGTTGTAATGGAGTAGAGTCAAGTTTAAAACTATGTTATGGGATGATATATAAGATGGAGGGAAGAATATGAGGAAGTAAAGGGAGGGCTGAAGTCCTGCTGTAGTTCACGAAAAGCTTGGATATGTTATTCTGTACCGGAATACACCAAACATGCTCATGCGTTCTTTTCAGCCTACATTTAGACAGAGGTGTTAAATTTGAATTGTGCGATAGTTCCCACTTAGGCCACCAGATCGCAGCATCTCAGTGTCTGCCACACGAATTTCCTCGCCCGTCATTTTATGGTCACCGCTCGTAGGATATTTAAAAATATTTTTGAGGTCGTGCAGAATTGCACTACGTCAAATTTCATCTAAATTCATCAAATGCTTCTCGAGTTGGAATTATTGGACGGACGTACAGATATAACCTGCCGATAATGCGTTCTCGTTATGCACTGATATTCTGAAGTAAGTGTATAACGAGTGTTGTGCCGGACTGCATAACATAAGGAAATCGAAGTCATTCACTGTGTATATTTCAACAAAAAATTTCTACACAAATTGTGCTTGAAGATGACTGTCTTCCGGGTTGTTGCGCCGTGTAGACTGGTAGAAGTATACCTATGTTTCACAGGTCCTTGCCTGTCGCCCTGATGATGGAGGCAGCATGCACCTGTAAAACGTGGCTAAAATTCTACCAGACTACACGGCGTAACAACCTATAAGACTCTGCCGTGGAAACCTCATATCCTACTAAGTTATTCTTAAATGCATAAGAATAAAAAATTGAAGGCAAAATTTAAACGAAAAAAAGAGAAGAAATATTGAGAGCAAACGACGTCAGATTCATCCACATCAAGGAACGAACAGTCTACAATTACAAAACGCGAAAGATTGGAACCATTATGAAAAATTATCTTGCCTTTCATGCAGGAGCACTTGAAGCCAGTGGTGGGCTATCGCGAAACATGATCTTGGGGACTACCGTCTCATTTCTTAAAAAAGGATTTATACAATTCTAACTCTATTTACAATATACTATGTACATTATACAGAGTACCTATCCCCTCGCATAGCAAATGGGAGGAGGGATCTGTGTGTGTCTCCATCGGGCTGTGTTCCCTGGCTAGTCCCCATCGTAGAGGCACTCCCAAAAACAAGTGAGGAAGGCACCTAAAACAAGCTCTACGTTTCTTTTTAATTGAGACACATGGGCCTTCCCCACTCGTGCGCCAGTCATATGATTCACCAGTTGAACCGTTACTTTAGTCAGGAACCTCGAGGTCACCATCTTAACCTCAACTTGACCAAAGTTTGATTAACGGCCGAACTCGTCGGGTTAACTTTAACACCCGATCTCCCGGCCTGAAAGGGTTCGCTGATCTACCGTCGTAGTACCGATGTGCTACCCTTTGTCGGGCAACACGCAGGCTTCTCAGAGCCCCTCTCCAGACCTCCTCCTCCCAGCACCTCTGTAACCTCCCAACGAAGGTCAAAAGAGTCCTTAAGATTTCGTCCCAAGAAAAGCTTCGCTGGCGTTTGTTTAGTAGATTCGTGTCAGGGCTTATTAAAAGATATGACAAAGTAGGGAAGACTGCAATCCCATGTAGTCTGCAGAGAATCGTAAAAACTAGACAACGCGGCCTTAAGATTCCTATTAAAACGTTCGATATGGTTGGGAGAGGGTCGGTAGAGACTGGTGGTAAAATGCGAACCCCCCTCCCCTATCTAAAACACATGTCTCTGGGTGTCTGGGAATTGAAAACTGAAGCCTAGTCCGACACGATATCTCTCGGGACCCCGAAATTTCCAAAAAGACGGGTTTCGAGGAGGGAGACACTTGATTTAGCTGCAGTGGCCCGTACGGGATACATGTTAACAAATTTGGAAAACCCTTCTATAGAATAGACCGATAACCGGATTTCGAGCGCACCATGAACCCGAAATAGTTAACATATATTCGCTGCATACGGCATACAGAAACGTCGGCCGAATGAAATCCGACCTTTGTGTTCCTAGCAGGCTTCCCACTCTGACATCTGAGGCATAATCCCTTATTTTGCTCTTCATTCACGGCCAAAAAATCCTTGTTGATCTTGTAATATGTTTTGTAGATATTAAGTGTGCTCCAAAAGGAGAACCATGGAAATAATTCAAGATCATCGGTAATAGAGCTTCCGGGACCAGAACCCTTGGTCATTTTGCTCGTCGCGGAAGAAACACTGCTAGGCCACGGAACAGTTTCCGATGTGTCCCCGGCCGCAATGCGTTGATGGAAACCAATACAATAGGGGTCCTTACTTTGGTGATATTTTACGGTTTCAGACAAGGCGGGGAGGGGTTGTAGAACTCGCACCGAAGGTCCTGCAGTCGGCGAATCCACAGGCTCAAACATTCGTGACAGGCAACCAGTCACGACGTTTTCACTACCCCGGATATGAACTAATTTAAATTTAAACGACAATAGGCGTAGCAGCCATTTTCCTATGCGCTGTAATTGACGCGGATGCCGCCGCATCCACGAGAGCGCCTCGTTGTCAGTATGGACCACAAATTCCTTGTGTTCTAAATACGTCCGAAATCTCTCGCATCCCAGTTCGACAGCGAGACATTCCTTTTCGTAGGTCGAGTACTATCAGCGGGAGAGAAGGGGCGACTAAAGAAGGCGACCAATCGAAATATCCCCCATTTTGTCGACGAGGAAAGCTGGACTCGCATTTCTCAACAAGTCGATCACATGATTCCGGAGGGCGATCAGTCTTGGCGGCGAACACTCCTACGGCGGTGATCTCACTGGCACATCGTCTGACAGTTCTGTGTCGCAAATGCGCCCCCTCGACGCTCCCGATTTATCGGAGAACAGCGCGGGAAATTCTTTGATGAAGGTTGAAGTACTACAAGCGGACTTCTCACTTACGGGGATCGCTGTCTTTCTGGAGGTGCCTGTCGATGTAAAGATAAATTTGTACTTCTGTTGAGGTCTGAACAGGAAGCGGTATATCCCCCGAGGAGGATTAAGAAACATGCCACTGTGACAGACAAAATCCGCGCCCAGAATTACTCTCATAGGTAAGCGTCTCGCTACGAGAAAGTCGTCCCACGAGAAGTCGTGGATGTTAATATGCAGCTGATCCTCCAAGAGACTCGATTCTATTGCCATGCCGCAGTAACTAAACTAACTCCAGACGGCATCTTCTCACGGCACGCCCGACGTCCGTAACGTCTCAACAAAATCCGTAGAGACCAGAGAAATCACACAGCCCGTGTCTACCGAAGATGGCTGGTGGAGACGTTTACAAGATATAGAAATCCATGGTCACAGCGATCGGAATAGTCTTGCCCTAAATCTCGCGTTAGGGAAGGAAAATATCTGCACAAGCCCGCTCCTCAAGGGAGGGCGTTTGAGTCGGTTCCCACGACCACTAGTACCCCTTTTATATTCTGA